TTCCTGGGGTGAAACTTCCTCTCTTCACATCAAGCAAAGTACGCTTTCCAAGTACAGTGATAAACGGTGTGAGAATGCACCTTCAACAGTGTCCTTCAGGACCTGAGCTTCAATTGCCATGCCATTAAAGTCAGCAAATGTGAAGCATGATGGAATGTCCATGAGGTACAAGGTCTACCCCATCCTGGCCCAATCCAGTACAATGACAGTCACTGGGATGCCTTCCGTCTCTATCCTCTGTTGCAGACAAAGCAGGAGCTTGGGGAGTCAAGGCATGAAAATCCCTTCACATGGTCACAAAACTGTCCAGTTTGTGATTGAACCTGTAGGCTGAAAGGTCCATGTTGGGCATTCCCCCATGGAGACAGAGCATTTGAAACACATTTGGGGGGAAAAGACCACTCTCCAGGATCCAGACCTTAGGAAGTACACTTGCCCAATTTCCACAACAGGACCAAAAAGTGCAGTTCTGCACAACAAGCTTGCATCTTTGACAGCTGAAAGTCAACAAAGTGGTCTTGCCACAGTGCCAAGATACTGGCCAAAGGACAGAGACACAAACTGAAAATTCTGTTCCCTTACTGCAAAACCCAGATAAAAATGAGAATGTACAAGTAGACATCCTTGATGTCTACAGAGGCCAGAAAACCAGCCGGATGGATTGAGGCAATCATAGAATAGAACATTATAATAATATCTTCAAAGCTTTTCTTGTTTTGAAACGGGTGGTTTCAAGTGTAACAGGTCCAGTGCAGCAGCACAAAGGTGACTCGATTGTCTGGTGCCATAGGCATGATGTGTGGAGGAAGAAAAGCACAAAACTCCATCTTGTAGCCTCTGGCCACAGTGTTCTGGTCTCATCTCCCACCTTGGAGAGCTTGGTAGCCCAATTTTTCTAATGGATGATTTCCAGGTTTCTGTTTGGTCTGAGTTTTGGAAAGGATGAAAGGAACCCTTCTTACCCAAAATCCCAGAGGATTTAGGTCCCTAGTGGCTTTTGCCTTTTCTTCAGTGGCAAGAGCATCCTTCTCTTTCAGTGATTTTGTGGCTAAATGCATACAGTTCACCCTCGAAGGGCAGTTATTCCAGCTCTTTCTTGCAGGGGAACTGCACCGACCAACATAAGCCATAAAATGTGTCTCATGTGAACCAACGCAAGGCCTAGGCAGGAAAGATGCTGAAAATAATCTCCTAACCTATCCACACAAACATAACGCTTGCAGAAAGACCTCCAAGTGCTGCCACAGTATAACCTGCCTAAAGGGCACCATTTTTTCATAAGCACCTTAATTATCAGACAGGCTAGATCCGGCCCTGTAAGTGGGGGTTTTGCAATAGAAACATAGGTTACGTTGTGCTTCACATATTACAGACAATAAATAGGTATGCTTTAGGTTGGTCTGCAACAACGTGACACTCACAAGGTAAATATCTGGTATGAATGGCTGAATTAGAGAAATACAGTATGGGTGCCAAACATTGGCTAAGGGTTATTGCTTATTGTCTCTGCCTTAATAAAGGCCTATACAGTATATGTCAGTTGGACTAGTATATATAGCACCGCTACACGTTCTTTTTCTGTTCCCAGGCTGCTTTCACTGTTTTTTTTTTTTTTTAAAGCATTCCTAAGGTTCTATGTTTTTCTAACTCACCTCATATATGTAGTCAAACAGCTCCAAGATAGTCAGGATACTGGCACCTATGAAGAGTCCCATTTGACCCCCAATGTCACCTGTAGGAAAAGGTGGCATAGTGTCAATAAGCATGTCACACACTGCAGCCAACCGTCATACCAGTATAAGAAACATACAGAGGATGTTACATGTGGCTGTACATTGGACTGGACTATCACAACACAAATTATTTTCACAGAACTGACAAGCAACTATCTAATAACATATTGGGAGCGGTGGCACCATTTGAGGTATCTTCAGGGGATTTAGTATACTCAATAAATTTTGTCTAGGATTCTATTAACTTTTGTTGATAACCCAGCAGTGTGCTATTCTGACTCACATGTCAATTCTCAGGCAATTACAATCAATTCCAATCACAAACATGACTGATCAAGGTCTTCTACCATCAACAGCTTTAATCGCTTCAAGTTTGTGATAGGATGCAATGATCTGCTTGGTTGGTTTTGTTTAAAACAACAGAATGTTATGTATAAGGCCAAAACTGATGGTGAATAACCTCGGAGGCACATCTGCTATTTAGTGTATATTAACCACTTGCCCTAGAAAGGATTTACCCCCCTTCCTGACCAGGCCATTTTTTGTGATATGGCGTGGGGGTTATTTTAACTGACAATTGTGCGGTCATGCAACCTTGTACATAATTGAAATTTATGTCCCTTTTTCCCCACAAATAGAGCTTTATATTGGTGGTATTTAATCACCTCTGCATTTTTTCATCTTTTGAGCTGTAAACAAAAAAAGACCGGCAATTTTGAAAAAAAAAAAAAAAACTTTTTTATCGTGCTATTAAACATGTCCAATAAAAATAAATCAAATTTCATCATAAATTTGGGCAAAATGTATTCTGCTACATGTCTTTGTTAAAAAAAAAAATCCCAATACATGCACATTTATTGTTTTATGTGAAAGTTATAGTGTTTATAAATGACAGTATATATTGGAAACTTTTTTTTTTTTTTTTACTAGTAATGGCGACGATCAGTGACTTATAGCGGGACTGCGGCGGGCGTTATGACACTGGAGGGAACTGACTAACTGCCACTGACATCCCCAGTGACACTAATACAGTGATCAGTGCTAATAAAAAGCACCAACACTGTACTAATGACACTGATCGCCCCAGATGTTATCCCCTTCCTGCCCAAAGGGTTAACTGTGTGCTGTGTGTGTTTTAGCAGGGAAAAAAGCTGCTTTCTATTGCCCTACTGGGCAATAGAATAGAGGGGAATCTGTTGTAGGCTTAGCAACTCTGCTTGGGGATTTCAGTGCAGCAGAGGCAGCATTGTCAGCTCACTACAGGAAGTACTCTGATTTCTGGCAGATCCACGGGAGTGTTTCTCTGTACTTGCAGTGTTTTTGCAAGAGAAAAATAAAATGAGAATATGTACTTGTATTGCAGAGATGTAATGAATTTGTTTTATTTTGCCCAAACATACACTTTAGGTTCAGTTCACATCAGAACGCAGTGTGGGGAAACTGAGCGTTTCCTGCACTACATTCAAAACGCACTGCAGTGGGTGTCAGTGTCAAGAATACCCCAAATGCAGTGCGCTTGCATACACCAGATTGCATGGCACAAGTAGTACCATGCGATCCAGTGATGTGCATTTTTTAAAAGTAGTGCATGCAATACATTTGATGCAGTCCAACACGATTTCAGCTCATTCAAATGAATGGGATGAAATTGCACTGTACCTGCAACACATGTGAACCTTCCAAGAACGCACAGCACGTTCCTGTGCAATTCATAGTGTGAACCGGCCCTTAAAGTGGACCTTCATACACATTTTAATCCATCTCCAGTGTTAATTATTATCCCCCTCCTCCAAAAAGCAGTGCTATCCCCCACATTGTGCTCATAGATACCCTTACCAGAGGGTAAATGACCCTACTAAGTTTTCAGCTCAAAAAAGCTCTCTTAGCGTGATAAATCCTCAGTGTCAGGGGTTCAGACTTAACTTCCACTGCGTGGAAGAGAGGATTAGAGGAAGTGAAGTAAAGGGAGTTGGCTTCAGCTGCCCTTACTACAAATGGCCACCGGCAGAAGAGCGGTGAGAGTGATATGAGGGATGGAGAATCAATAGTTGAAGTGAATGTAGCATTATACAGCTATGTTAAAGGTGCCTTTGTGATACAATGTGAGACTATTAGGGTGAATTCCTCTTTAAGCAGCTTAAAATGTCCATGGCAAGCTCTTACATGAGCTGAACTGTTAGTCCACCATCAGTGCGGCACTCACGTGGTGATCAGACCTTTAAAAAGGCAATATTGTGCAGCTCAGATGTCACTAGTGTTTCTTATTATTTATAGGTCACATTGTGATCCAAAATAAGAAGAGTAAAAGAAAGGTGTTAACTGCATGTATGCCGCTTCAGTTCATTGGGCAAATAATTCTATTAACCTCAGAAGACCCCATACCTTACAGACAATAAACATGTCCGCCTGCCTATTGTTCTCAGGAAGACATCTTCCTGCCATGCCTAGACATGCTTTAACACAAGCAACAGATCTTTTTCTTTTCTGATATCACTTCTTAGAAGAGGGAATCCGCCTGTATTAGCACAAGTACTGTACACCATCATAGTGCCAAGTCACAATAGCTCTGCCACTGACAAGTGAATTTAACATTAATAGAGATGGGAAATGCTCCTCTGTCATTGCACCACCTACACGCTGTGCTCCTTGCTGGAGGATGGCAAAAAAAAAAGATTTTTCCTTCACTTGCGGTGTCAACTAATGCCTACTTTTTACCTCACTCAACCTTTTTGTTTGTTTCCTTCTTTCCTGATGACTCCATTGGTTTGTAAATAGTTGGTTAAATGAAATCATATGGAACCCTACTTAGCCTTATTCTAGAGTAATCTAGATGAAAGGCAAGTCAAGCTGCGATAATAATGGTCTGTGCTGGAAGGGAATATATTTCAGATGAAACAACATAACATCCTAACAAATAAAATATAGCCAGATAGTTCAAGACATTAAAGCATCTAAACCCCATTTCCTGCTCTCAGCAGGCCCTTCAGTTTCTATTATACAGAGCGAGGCCACATTTCAGGATGGCAGTGCCTGCAACAGTGATCTTATATACTGACCTACGCTAGAGCTTTCTAAGTAATTACATGAAAGTGGCCACATATATGTAGTCATTATATTACGTGGTCACAAGGCAAATGCTATAAAAAAAAAAAAGGCACATTGATTACCAGCACATCATTTTAAGTGAGGCAGTGCATACTCACCAAGCAACCCAGCCACTTCATAAGCTTTTTTCTGCTCGATTGTTTCATAATTCAAAGCTTCAAAGAAAACATCCAGGACAAGAATATTCTCCCTAGTTAGAGGAAAAACAAAGATGGATACGTCTTTAAGGGTTTATTCATACAACTGTATGAAAATTACGTAAGATCTTGCTGGCAGAGGGATCCTGCATAAAGCGTTTTCCTTACACTTTATACATGTAACGCTTACATACATACAGCATATCTGATCACAGCCGACATGTAAATATCAACAATATGTAGTCAGCACTGTCTCCAATTATACTCTGTTGATCTTTACATGTTGGCCCTGAATGAGTCATTTATGCCGCACCACTTGAACGACCCATTCAGGGCATACATGTAAACGTCTATAGTGTGCAATTATCTAACGCGGCACCACTGGCTACACATTGTTGATAGTTTTGATTCTGAGCAACAGCAGAGGCCAATAGGGTCAATATATAGTGTACAAATGTGAACATCAGCACAAACCCCAAAATGCCTGCCAGTGTAAAAACCACGCAAATGATGGCCCCAGATGCAACTGTGTGAATGATCTGATAGACTTCTATACTGCTGAGCACAAAACTACACGCTGTATGCATTTGTACATCCCTGTGAATGAGGCCCAAAGGGTTCTACCCACCCAAAAGAAACTTCTGTATCTAATCAGTCAGTCCAATCACTGACAAACCCATGTAGACTTCACCACCGCAACATCTCCAAGATACGCCTGTTCCTAACCTCGGAAACTACTAAGCAACTTATTCACTCCCTTATTATATCTCGCCTCGACTACTGTAACTCCCTCCTCACTGGCCTACCTCACCGCAGGCTATCCCCAGTACAGTCCATCATGAATGCTGCTCCCAGACTCATTCACCTTACTAAACGCTGTATATCCGCCACCCGTCTCTGCCAATCCCTCCACTGGCTTCCAATTGCCCAACGGATAAAATTCAAAACACTAACACTGACATATAAAACCGTTCATAACACTGCCCCTAATTACATCACCGACCTTGTCTCTAAATACCACCCAAACCGTACTCTCCGCAAGACCTCCTACTCTCTAGCTCCCATGCTCGTCTCCAGGATTTCTCAAGGGCTTCACCTATCCTCTGTAACTCCCTACCCCAATCTATCAGGCTATCACCTACTCTGCTCACCTTTAGGCACACTCTGAAAACCCATCTCTTCAGGGAAGCCTACCCCGACCCCAGCTAATACTGGAATCAACTACTCCTTCTACCACTCCATCCCCCCAGCTAATTACCTCTTGTACCACTCTCCCCTCCCTCCTAGATTGTAAGCTCCAAGGAGCAGGGCCCTCTAATCCCTCCTGTATTGTTACTGTATTGTCTCCCTCCATAATGTAAAGTGCTGAGCAAACTGTTGGCGCTATATAAGTCCTGTATAATAATAATCTACTGAGGACTCCATCTGTAAAATGTCCCTGGCTCTGCTCCAGCCCAGCCTGGATGGTTCCCATTTCTCCTATTTCATTCTCCATACTAAAAACTAATATCCAAAAGGGAGACTGGAACCTGACTACAAGTGTGCAGAATTCATGTGGGAAACTGTTGGATAGTTTAAAGTCGGCAATACACAAAGATCTCTCTCCTCTCCTAGTGGGCTAAACAGTATGGAATCCCTTGACAGTGGCTATTGTTTTCTGAAAGCTTTCACCCTCGACCATCAGAATATCTGACCAATGACTGCCGCATGATTGGACGCAGTCCCTGTTGGGCCAACTTTTTTTTTGCTCAGCTACTTCAATTTCTCAAAGTTTAACTCAACATAGTTTAACAGGAACGGATTTAGCTTTAGTAATGTACTCTTAAAAGTGTACCTCATAAATGCATAGTAGCAATTTCTAGCTTGAATGAAATTACGGGGCTGATGTATGAAAATGTGTTGGAGGAATATATTCTTCTGGATAGCAACAATTCTGCTTTCAACTGTAATTACTTCAGTGCAGTATTGAAAATAAACTACAATTTCTGTAGCTGCTGTGGGTATTGAGAAATGTTTGCTAGGGCACTTTTCCCTTCTGCCTATATATAATGAGTTGCCTGCTATAAGTAAACTAAAATTTCTCTAAAGGTCATAGAAAGCAAATGTAAGACGTTGCCTGTAGCAGTTAGATTAAGTCTTGTCAGTCCCACCTCTGCACTAGAAAAGTGACAACTGAAATCTAGTTGCTATGGACAGCTACCCCTATTATGGAATGCCTGTGTTAATAATGGCAGAGCTTGCGGATTCATGAACAGCACCTCCAGTCTTGCACACAAATATCTTCTGTAATAAATTAAGAGTTGTATAGTCACCAATGTGTTTATTTCCCTGGTCAACCCACTGCCTACTTCCCTAATTAGATTAAAACAGTGCTCAGTAACTGTGACCTAGCAGATGGTATAGAAGTGCAATACTCAGCATTCCCTGTTATGGGAGACCGTGGCCATGCAGCCCTCATTAACAGCCTTATTGAAACACAGCATTCATTTGCTCCTGTACGTACGAAATGTACTTCTCCGACTTGTTGAATTTCTTTTCTAAATACTTGGCAGATGTCTTGCTGGGGATTTTCACCATGGACAGCTCCTTGTTGTATCTAGTAAGATTACAGGGCATCATACACATACAATACCCTCCATCCTTCTCGGTCAGTAAACCTGCAAAAAAAACCAGGACAACAGAGCTCACAGGAGATTGGAAAAAGACTTTTACGCTCAATGTCTGTATACAGACTCTAGTGACTTGCAGATACCTAAAAAAAAAAAAAAAAAAAAGGCATAGATTGGTGGAAATGTCCCTCAAAGATGTGTTGTGTACATATTGATAGTAGGAATTGCAATGTATCCAAGCAGCACAGTTATCATCCTTGCACTGTCTTGTTAAAGGGCCTTCTCTCATTAACCACTTCCCGACCGGCCGTTGTATATCAACGGGCGGATGGTGGCAGTGCAGGGTCGGGTGGCTGTTTATAAACGGCCTCCCTGCACCCTGCTTGTGCGCGCTCCCTGGGAGCGCGCAGCACCGCGATCTGGTGCCCGCTGTGTCCCTCCGGTGAAACACCGATCGTCGGACGGGACCTCTGTACGAGGTCCCGATCATGTGATCACTGATTGGCCAATCAGTTATCACATGCAAAGTAGCAAGCAAGATGTCACTTGTGACATCATTGCTTACTACGTGTGAATTCTGTGAATGATCACAGAGGTCACATGGTACAAGGCTATTCACAACAGCCTTGTACCATGTGACAAGCTGTGACCAATCACAGCTCACTCTGTATTTCTCAATGACTGCAAGAATGCAGACAGAGAGAACGAGAAATGATTGCTTTTACATCCTATATGGCTGTAAAAGCAATCGGTGTAAAAAAAAAAAAAAAAAAAAAAATCTTTATCACCCCTCACAAGTAGTACAGTGTCACCATGGTGACACTGTACTGCTAGGGTGACAGTATGTAGAAACAAAAAATAAAAAATAATAATATAAAAAAATAAAATAAAAATGTAAAAAAAAATATTTAAAAATTATAATTTTTGGTTATAAACTAATTTGGATTTTTTTTTTACTAAAAAAATAACGGAATAAATTTTGGCCAAGATTTATGATGAAATATTATTTGCAAAATTAAAAAAAAAAAACACTTTTTCAAAATTTTTGGACTTTATAATTTATATAGCAAAAAAAATAAAAATCCCAGCAGTGAATAAATACCACCAAAATAAAGCTTTATCTGTCTCTAAAAAATGGTAAAAAATTCATTTGGGTACAGTGTCGCATGACCGCGCAATTGTCATTCAAAATGTGATAGCGCTGAAAATTGCCCTGGTCAGGAAGGGGGTAAAAGTGTCCGATCTGGAAGTGGTTAAGACACATTCTGATACTTACGTTAGTTGCACTGAGAATACAATTAAATATTTTTAATACATATATAACTGAGTTATATAAATGAAAAACAAAGTTCATCAGTGCTCCTGTGTTATGACAGGAGCACAGGCTGACCATTCCATAACTAGGTATTCACCTTCTTGTTTTACATGAAGGCTAAAGTCTTTGGAGGATGTGATTTGAATAGGAGGAATGGTGTCCTTGGGGACCTTCTTGCATCGGGGAGGGATGCAGAGCTCTGCAGGAAGCACAGTGTGACAGCAAGTTTATTAACCAATCCTGCCCTCCCTAGTTTATCAGACGGGAAGAGGAGGTGAAAGGGCAAGGAGGAAGGAAAACCACTACTGGAGGCAGAATCCCCCAGTGGTAAATGAAACACTGAGCTAAGCATTATCCTCACCAGGAAAGTGTATTGTCAAAACAATTTCAACCTAGCTTTTATAAATATTAAAACCTACATGTAGTCAAAATATAAAACACAAAAATCAGCACAAGGGACATGGCTTGCTATTAATGTCCTGTGTCGTATGTGCTGCTGACTTCTAGTGTCCTTGAAATTTTCCTCCATCGATCCCACCTCCTCTATTGTAATTTTCTGGTGCAGCAGGGGTTAATAGAACTGATGGCATTGTCATTTGCACTCATCAAAAATGCCCCAACTATGCCTGCCCTTTCCACCCAGCTCTGCCATTCAAAGAAGCCATTTCTACAGCTTCTATAAATGAAACAGGATCTTTGAATGAAGGATGGACGGATGATTGAATGGCCTGCTCCAGGGGCGGACTGACCATTTGGAAACTCAGGCACTGCCCGGAGTCAGTAGGGGTCCCCATGAGATGCCCCTGGTACCTTTTTCATAGGCTTTTTTGAGTTTGGGCAAGGACACAGGGGCCCCATGATCCCCTATTGCCGGGGGCCCCATGAGTTGTCAGTCCGCCCTTGGCCTGCCCCTTCCATTCATAGATCATGTTTCATTCATAGAAGTCAGGCACTCTTGATAGTAACTTCATATCCCTTGTGTTTATTTTTGTATTTCTCATTTTGGCTACACCTAGGTCTCACCTGCAGCTGCTTTTCTGGGACTATCTATGAAAAAAAAAAAAGAACAGTATTTTTAAAAACAGAAGAAAAGTGAAGTCCCCTCAATGTGGAGAACTTAACAACGGCGATCCTTGTTTTATTTTCTAGGCTCACTTAATCAGTTTTTTAAGTTTTTTTTTCCTGTTTTGGGAAGAATATAATTCTCCAGTTCATACAACTAGGCTTTAAATCGAAGTAATTAATTGCATATGATGATGACAGGTTAATAGAGTAAACAGCATTTTCTCTGTCATAAAATTAATTTCTAAAATATTAGTAAACTGCACAATGATGAAAGGATGAGTAAATTATATTTCGCTTTCCAGCCCAGACTAAAGGATCTGTAGATTGGGAGATAATAAAGGATGGATATCTCACTGTTTATTGAATGATCTGCTATAATTAGACTCTCAGATGCAGTGAGAAAGAAACAAGCAAATAATTAAAATGGTTAAATGAGGAAAAAATGCTGATTTGAGACAAAAACAATTACACCCTATTAAAAAGATGTTTCAAAATAATAAACATCAAAAAAAATTTGGTCCAATTTGCATAAACAGCTGAAATGAATGATAGCAAGATGTGTTAATGAGTAGGCGCACGTAATCAGGTTTCTTGTGAGTTCTGGGTATTAACAATGCTAAGAGATTTGCTGTTCTTAGTCTGCGTGGAACACTGATTTAATCAAACGTCTGTTTTTAGACGAGATGTGGGTATTGTCTCTATCTGGGTTTATTAGCTCAGATCAACAATTCTGCCTATACTAATCTATTCATCATGTAAAGCAATGGAACATAGACACTCATGGTAATGTATAAAACTCCATAGATCCTGCCTGTTCTACTGTTGATCTAATGGGCCTCCTCCTGTATGCCTACATTTGTCTATATGGGAGAGACTGGTCAAATCAGGGTGGTTCTCACTGAAGCTGAGAAATTTTGGGGAGAAGATTCTCTCATCTGATAGAATGATGACAGGTGTTCAACCCTAGCCTACATGCAAAGTAACCAAAGCAAATATGTCTGCAGAGAAAGGTTTGGATTTCCTCGCCCTCCTGGCACTGTTTTTGCTTACTAAATGGAAAATGTGAGGCTTGCGTAAAAATAGTCTCTATACATAAAATCCAATCCAAATTGAAATTTTAGACCCATTTTATTAAATGAAATCTGTCACAGGAGAACCATGGAGACTGCCTTTGCTGACTTCTCACTCTGAACCTGCTACTTGCCTGGGCGATAGGCTAACCATCTGGCAAGAGTATGTAGGGATTCGCTGCCCTCTACTGGCAGTTACTGTAAATGCCTGAAAATATATTCAGCATGAACTTCCTGTCTCTGAGTTGTTGGGTAAGAAACCCCAGAAGGAAGAAGTGGATAGAGACTGAGAATGTCTGAGACACATGCGAGAGTTGTTGCTGAACACAGAACAGAATACAGGGATTACTAGGCAAGTGCCCCCCCCCCCCCCATTCCCAAAAGAGGGCTACAATTCTAATTGCTTTTCACTTCCTGCAGCTAGATGGCCTCCTAATATCAAGTCTCTCCTAACTAGGTTTGCCACCTCATCCCATTAAAACCGAACACATATTAATGACAGGTTCTGTGGCTGATTAAGGTGGCAATTAAACTCACTTAGCGCCTTATCGATGTTAAATTAGCCTCAGAACCTGTGTCATTAATATGTGTTTGGGCTTAAAGGGATGAGGTGGCCACCCTACCCATAACACATGCTTGTTTATTACCACTATTCTTTGATCATTTTAAATGTTTCTATCAGGAACCCTGTTAAACCATATTGCTGACCTTTCCTTCAGAAAAAAAGTGAGTTGTCCGGATCTCCTGCTGATTCAGTACTTTGATACACTTACCAGGAAAAGTGTGTAACAAATGACATGGGTATTCCTGCTCTGGGTACCTGTTCCAGGTCCGTGACACAGAAAGCACTGAATTCATCAATTTTGCCTCAAATGCAGACAACTAATATTAAATAGTAATGGAAAAAAAACACTCCGTTCTGCTGTGCTTTAAAATGTATACTATAAAACCCTAAATTGATCTGATGAATTGAAATGCCTAAACCCATCAGAAGTACCTGTGTCACACGTCACTGGATGAGATCCTTTCTTGTATAAGACGGACAGTATTCCTCTCTGGATACGTCATGTTTTATAAAACATGACAATACTTTCCATAAAAAGCAATGCAATTACTGCCGACATACAGAACTTTACCTACATTTATGCCAGCATGTAAATCCTATTAAAGTTAGCATATTGCAGAGTCAACAAATACATTGAGGTTGTTTTACTAAAGGCAAAGAGGCTGTTTAGTGTGCGGGCGAAGTTGCAAAAGAATTTTCTCAAGATTTTACTGGATGTGTTGAAGTTTCATTTTGCAAAGAATGCCCAATAATGTACAAGGAAAATAAAAAAAAAAACAAACAAACTACATTTTCCCTTGCTCATGAATGGATGATAGAAGTCAGCAGCACTTCACCTGTGTCACTAAGCTGGGGCAACCTCCCTTGCAAAGTGAGCAGTCTCTTTTTGTCTTTAGTAAATATTTAACCATTACAAAATGTCTGACTTTGTTCTGGATGTATCTTTAACAGGGACAATCCCATTCACTGCAGATATTGAGAATGGTTTGTCTCCTGACAACAGTTCAGGTGTTAAACTCACTTAGTGCTGGTTCCGCACATTCTTTATACTGCTCGGGGGTACAGAACGGGGCATCACCTGAAAGGAAAGACCATATATCAGAAAAAGCATATAGATAAAAAAAACACAACTGCATTGTTTTATCGCAAACAAATGATTGTTCAATAGAATGTGTTTAGGTTCTACACTAATCTATAGCACCCTGCCAGCTTTTGTCTGTCTATTAGAATCTAGAAAGTAAACTAAATGTCTGATTTGATGATGTGGTTTAGTGCAGTGATATCTATCACCCCGTGGAGTGAGGACACTTAAATGTCAACTCCCTAGAGCTACTCTAGCAGCTTCTGACCACGTACCAAAGGCTAAAATCAATTGTAATTTCGCTCCTCCACCACAGATTTGTGAAAGTTTGAAGCCAATAATTGACACATTTCATTCATTGTATTATTAGTACTATAGCTAGCACAGTTGGTGTTTCTTGCAGATCACAAAGTCTCAAGGGCTAGTGCGTAGTGTATCAGCGCATAGTGTATCAGCGCGAAGTGTATCAGCGCGAAGTGTATCAGCGCGAAGTGTATTAGGCTTTCACACTGATCCGTTTTTATTCCACCTTTGTGTTAAAAAATAAAAAAAAAAAAAAAAAAGCAGAGGGAAAATGTGAGACTCTGTATTCCGATGGAACCTTTCACACTGATCTGTTGCGGATCCAGTGAGTTTTTTAAAATAATGCTTGCTGCATTTTTTGTGCAGGTTTGGTGAGGTAAATAAAGAATGCACCTCCCCATTGAAATCAATAGATAATGCGGCAAAACATATCAAAAAGGCACCCGTGTTGCGATTTTAGTGCATTTTTTGAGTCATATGTTCTGTAAAAAAAAACCACACTACAAACACAGTAAAAATGCATATGAGTTTTTGCCATGGATCAGTGTGAAAGTAGCCTAAAAGCATCAAAGAATCTTCGAATATCAGAGCTGAGCGGTCCAGACACCACCATCCTAGATTTGAACAGTCAACTATAGAGAACATATTTAGCCAGTACACTTTATAGTTGTCAAGTTGAAAAAGTATTCATACCCCTTGAAAATTTTCCACATTTTGTCATGTTACAACCAAAAACATAACATGTATTTTATTGGGCTTTTATATGATACACCAACACAAAGTGGCACATAATTGGGAAGTGGAAGGAAAATGCAGAGAAAGGGGGTTCTACAAAGTATTAACTCAGGGGGGGCTGAATACAAACACACGCCACAATTTTCACATATTTGTAAAAAAATGTGAAATCATTTATCATTTTCCTTCCACTTTGTGTTTACGTTTTTGGTTGTTACATGACAAAATATGGAAAATGGTCAAGGGGTATGAATACTTTTTCAAGGCACTGTATGTATGACTAGAGGGAGATCTCAAGGTATACAAAAAGGGGGTACAAGAGTTAGCAGATCCCTTTACGTTTTTGGTTATAACATGACAAAATGTGGAAAATTTCAAGGGGTATGAATACTTTTTCAAGGCACCGTAGCTCTTTGTTTCATCCATGGACTGTTGTTTAACAGATGTGTTTCCCTATTGGTATTTATTGATGAAATATCAATATATTCAAATGGTCATAAACTATCAATTTCACTGCATCGTTTGAGATGTTTTCTCATATTTCCTGATTGGAATCTGAGAAACTTGTCAATTGCTCTCCCCATCTCACTGAGTTTATAAGCTACAGTTGAGTGTACAGAACATTCTGTTCAGCATTCGAAGAATATTTTTACTGCACCAGTGGCCGTTAAGGGTATATATATGGGGATGTATACTGTATATATCTTACATTTCTGTTAATCTCTGGGCATATTTTACACAATTTTAATATTTTATACATTAATTGATTTATTGCATTGCCACTTCTAGCGCCCCATTCCTAAATACACCCTTTGTCATACAAATTCAAAGAAAGTCCACTTAAACTGCAAGTTACTTAGTGATAACGTTGGAACAACACCCATCCTGGTTTACTTTATTAATAACCAAGAAAAAAAAAAAAGATATGAAGTTTGCCCATTAGAAATAGTACCTAACTAGCTGTTCCTATTCTAGAACGCCTGTAATCTAAACCCCAAACTTGTGTCTCCTCTCCAACCTTTACCACTAGCCTTTCTTGTTGTAATACAGTAGCACACGCTTTGTCAGCATTGTTATACATATGTTTTGTTGTAACACATCCAAACACACAGCCAAGAAATCACAGTAATGTGAATATAACATTCTAAGGTCACTATAGGTGGGACATTTGAAGACTGTAAGCCCTCATGCACACGGGGCGTTTTGATAATGCTGGTAAGGTTAGCTGTGTAAAGTCACATTAAAAGCGTGATTATTTCAGCGTTTTTGCATTAGCACTTATCGGCGTTTTGTAGCTTTTTTTTTAAAGAAAATGTTTTACCAAAATTTACCAAAATTTTTACAGCTAATCCTCTAGAAACCCACTAGTCCTGGGTTTTTTTTCTCCTGCCAAAAAATGTTGATTACAGTCTATGTGTGCATGGACACACAGGATAATATGCTGGGGGGTTTACTGGCTGTAAAAAAGAAAAAAAAAAAACACCAAAAGCCAAAAAAAACAGCCGCTGTAAAAACGTCCAGTGTGCATGAGGACTTAATTGCAAATTCATTTATGGATGCATTACATTTCCAATTGATGAGATCAGCAGTGCATCCATTACATAATGAAACATTTACATTTTAATAATAGAAATTCTCTCCACCTGTTTACATCAGGCTTTTTTTTACATCACCTAAAGATTCTTCAATTTTTGTGGGGCTGAATATAAACCAGGCATTGACTGTGTCTATGGCATTGGGTCAGCAAGTGAAGGGTTAATGCTTATATTTTGTGCAGCAGGGATTGCACACCAAATACAAGATCGTTAATGAGTACGGGTCAAAAGGAAGCACATCCTACATTTCCAGAGAGCAGATTCAAACAGGCAAAATGAGATGTTTTAGAGGCGTAGCTTCCTCGCATTCAGAGTAAGGAGCAATTCATGCAATACGTCACATTTTTGCTCTCTGAGTCTGCATGTCTTGTATGTGGCCAACAACAGCTAAACAGTGATCTGCTTCTTAGAGGTCTTTGAATAATGTACAGCAATTATTGTAATTATGACATCTAGTGCCAGAGAAAATGATTTTACAACCAATCAATATAACAAAAAAAAAAAAAAAAAAAAAGAAAAAAAAGGTTCTCTTCATGGAAAAAGATCAGAACACAGATTAATGCCATAAACAGTTATTGTTGCTCTTCCTTTATTAATTGAAAGGCAGTCATTGTCTCTGTACTGGAATAAGGTGCGGAGGTCTAGTAATGCCTCACCTGGCATGTGCACCATTTTGCAGTTGCAGTTCTCTACAATGTATCTGGTTTCACAGTCGATCCTACAAGCTGAGATACTGTATACTGGGAAAAAGTCCGAGCCCAGATCGGAGAAACGGCAAGTGCCCCATGGTGAGGGGAGATATGTAAGCTGAGAGGAGGGAGGGGCAGTGATCGAGGAAGGAGAGTATGGGAGGCAAGGTGGTAGATGAGATGGTGATGGGGTAAAGGGACACAATGAAAGATAAGAAAACAGAGATATTAAGTCAGAAACAACATGGTGGATATCACGGTTAGCACATATTATGTTTGCTTTCTAACCAGCTATTGGATGCAGATAAACACTCATTTTGAAATCCCACAAAGTTAACATTCAGTAGTATAGCCCATCACAGTGAAATGCAACCAAAATTGTATTCTTTTCTGAATTCACCCATCTTCTGTTCGGCTTCTTCAGCCACCCTTGACGAAAAACATGCTGTGGTTTTTTTAAAACTGCTTATGTGCCAAGATTGAGGGCTTATTCACACTGTTTGCCTGCAGTGATACTAATAGATACATTTTACTAAATGAATATACATACATTTAAAGTAAAAAATAGCGAGTTTGCATCTGCATGCTGCAGTTTAGTGTGTTCTTAAAGAGAAACGATGAGGGCCTGTTTGCATCCCTGCATGCGAATTACAACTTGTGTTGCTATGATTGGGCCCTCCAGGTTAAGGCCCCTTTCACATGAAGAGTCAGATCCAGGGGCGGACTGACCATTTGGAAACTGGGGCACTGCACGGGGTCAGTAGGGGCCCCCATGAGATGCCCCTGGTACCATTGTCATAGGCTTTTTTGAGTTTGGGCAAGGACACAGGGGCCCCATGATCCTCTATTGCCCGGGGGCCCCATGAATTGTCAGTCCGCCCCTGGTCAGATCAGTCCTGCAGGTCAGTTTTTCAGGTGGACTTGATCAGACCCTCTATTCACCCTATGGACTGGCGAGTATAAATGGACTTGTGTTTGTTTACACCCATCCACCTCCAATCCGATCTGATCAGGACTGCTGAAACTAAATAAATAAATAATACAGATGGGGATCCATCCCCCCTCCATGTAGGCAGATCGGATAGGAGGGCAGTGGCATATGAACGGACAGCAGAGTCCATTTACACTTGGCCACCCATAGAGCAGAGTGGGCTCTGCTCTCATCAGTAGAGGATCAGCAGACAGATCCCCTGCTGATTAAAACGGAGTCCACCCCGTGTGAAAGGGACCCGACTGTATAAAATTTAACTTTGTGGTCTTCGTAAATTTTGGTAAACCCTCATGCACGAGAACGATCTATAAAAATTGTGGCATTTTGGTAAGAAAGGTCATGTTTCTTGGACTCTCTCAGAAATGTGACAGTACTCCAACATTGAACACTGTCTTATAAGAGGATTTGTGACTTCAGGAAAGACAATATCATTTCTACAAACATACCAAAGTAATACTATCTAGCCATCAGGATTTTATATATTTTTTTAGATATACAGTATAGACTGTTTTAGTGAGCACGGAGCAGTAATGTTTTAACTGCAAAGAAGTTCGCTGGAAAGAAAATTTGCTCTAGTCTGAGAGCGGATCAATTATAGCTACTGCAGAATAATTAGCGTTCCATCATTCTGTTATATACAACAGTTTTTCTGACACAAGTTCTACAAAGAATAAACAGTGAGCAGGCCTGATGACAGGTTTGAGCCCAGGCTGTGGAAATGATTTAGAATAGCTGAAGAAAAATACACCTGATGTTAATGGAGCCGTATTGAAAATGCAGTAAAATATGTAACACGCAGTTCATGGTCCATCCAGAATCCTTTTGAAATACCCTTTTAAAAGCTGAACGTGTATTAGAGATGCCTGTGCTAAGTGCTGGTTCCCATTGAATTGGAAATAGCGAAATTAAAGTTTTGATTGTGTTGTGTGCTGAAATATTTACAGTTTGTAAATATAAGAACCTCTGGTCTGTCAGATTCTTTGAGATGTGGGGACCATTGTGTCACCCAGCAGCTTTATTTGGACTTGGGTACCAGGCTAATGCATTTTAAGGTAACCAGGAAAAGTACTTTGTCTGGTACATCTCTGTATCTGTAAATGCTCCATTCTACTTACCTGACAAGTTTGCCTTTAACTTATAAAATGCATCACCTCTTCCTTACATCTCCAAAAGACACCCTATCCCAACCTAAGAAGACACCAAACTTCGGGGGCATCTCTCGTAATTGTCTAGGTTTCTACAATATATGCTGCTATCTAATCTTTACTAATATGAGGATCATGCTATATATTCCAGCACAAATGCTTCTGCAAACTTGATCTATCCCTACCATGCCTGATGGTCTTTTCAAATTTCTTTAGTGGTTTTTACTCTCCACTTGTATGTCTGACCTCAGACACAGATTGACCCCCAAACTGATCCTCCTCCTCCTCCCCAACCTCTTCACTCATATCCTCGACCCTCATAAAACACCTAGATTTCCTGCAGCCAATCTTATTCTTTGGAACCATCTTCCTAGTCTCATCAGAATAGTCTCCATCTTTAAACACCCCCTCAGGATCTCCTCTTTAAAAAAAAGCCTCTCCATCTTTCTTTCAACCCTAACTAGTCATTGCTGAGTAACCATCACCCGTCATAGAGAAACCCTGGACAGGGCATAGATTTCCTTGTGTCATATTTTTATTATCATACACTATTGTATGGTGCTCTTGATGGGGGGGGGGGGCTAAAACTGACAAGAATCTAAAGATTAGTCACCCCTCCCCCCTGGTCTGGATTATGATATCCCAAGCAGTTTTACAGAACCTAACAGTGTAATGAGCGTCCTAGTAAAGACGCCTACTGCATTGTCCTTATTGATCTTAGCTATGTGCACAGAGCATGCATTTTTGTTTTTCAGCTGTCACTTAATAAAGCGTGTACAGACACTGCTGAAGTGACACCAATTACCGCAGGTGAATTTTCACGTTTCTGGCTCATCTGACAAAATGTAAATAAAGTATTAAATCTTAGATTGCCATTTGTCACCTTTTCCACAATGAAATAACAGAATGTCCCTGAAGGTAAGGGTCCTTTCATTACAGCAGAGTCTGTTCCGATCAGCAGGCGATTCGTCTACAGATCCCCTGCTACATCGGAGCAGAACAGAATAGATGTCATTTTTGTGACATCCATGTCTGTTCATTTTTTTCCTCCATCACAAGATGCAGAACTTAACAGTTCCATGTTAGGTCTATAGGCAGGCGAATGGAAATAGACATGCATCTGTCTACATCCTTTTACCTCCAATCTGTCACGGTTATGTCCGAAAAACTGGGATGTAATTGGCTGTAAACGGATGCATTTCTGTTTACATCCACCTGCCCATAGACTAGTTTATGTTCAGATCCACCTCAAAAACTGACAGGCGTATCTGATCTAAACAACTGTGGAAAAGGAGCCTAAATCGTGCGGTGCTTTGCTCTGCTGGTTTTGGAACATTTTACAATGTATACAGTATATGCAGCTTGAGTAGGAGCTTCCTTGAGCTTTTCCGACTTTAACTGTTGGCTTTATTACCAGACCTCAGTTAAAGAAAGGTTAATTTGTGGGGGAGCTCTCATCATAGAATGAACTGGTTTTAAATCTATTGCAGCTGTTGACGTCAAGCTGTACTATTATGTTCTAACTATCATATTTATGAATGACTTTGGAGTATGGAGAACCTGGAACATCGCATACTCTGACATTTTAAGTCATAAAGGCTGGCAGAGCTTTCTGGGAAAGCAGTCAGTTCTTAATGATGGTTGAAGAGTACATTCTGTCCATGTTATTTATTAATATGTATGACATTGGAAAAGGATGTTATTTACCTACTAGGTACACCTAGAATGTCAGCACACCTAGAATGTCTATCTGGAATTTACCATCTGCCAAAAAAAAAAAAAAAAGGAAATCTGTGCTTTCATTTTCTAGAGTACAGCTATTCAAGTACATAATTTGGTGGAAATATAAAAAAAAAAAAAAAATTATATATATATATCCATCCTACATCCAATCACTTATGAATAGAAGAGAATGATCTTTTCTTCTGTGTATGGAGACATTTCATGGTTAGTCAGGGGTTTTTTTTTCAGCGGGAACGTGGGGGAATGCAGTTTTGGCGCCTCCAGAACTGATTGTATGTAATGGCAAGGTGTACTAGGGTGTGCTGGAGGATCTATTGATGCTGGCTGCCTGGGAATCTATTGTCGATGGAGGGGATCTATTTTTGTGTGGCCGTCTATTGTTGCTGGAGAAGTCTATTGTTGCTAGTGGGGGATCCGTTGTTGCTTGGGGGTCAATTGTTGTTGGAAGGGATCTACTGTTGCTTGCTGCTGGAAAGTCTATTGATGCTGGTTGCTGGGATGTTGATCTGTTGTTGCCACTGGGGGCCTATTGCTACTCAGGTGGTATTTTGTTGTGGAGGTCCATTGTTGCTGGGGGGGAGTGGAGGTCTTTTGCTGCTGGTTTCTAGGGATCTATTTTACTGCTTTTCTTGTGATAATTAACAAATCTTGTACACATTACTTAGCACCACAAAATGATAGTTGGTTCTGTATTCTCCAAAAGGGGCAGTGCTGGGAGGTGGGTAGGAGATGGAACAAGGAATGGCGCTTGGAGGTGGGAAGGGGAGGCTGACACAAGAAATAGCTCAGAAGAGGGGAGTCCCTGCACCTATTCTCTGAGGGAAAAAGCCCTGATGGTATCACCATTTAACTTCATAAAAATAAAACTGAAAGCATCTGTTTCCCATAGCAGGCAACCAGATTCTAAAGATAATGCTGTCCATCATAGAGAAGTTTCTTTATACCAATAACTAGTAATGGTGTAACTTGGTTACTACAGGTGCCCATCCCAAAAGCTTAGTTTCAAATACAAAAATAGAGGCAATGTTTGGTGGAAAGGACTTTTTAGGCCCCATATATCAAACAATGAATACAACATTTTAACAAAACTTTATTTTTCCAAAGTTAAAAACCAAAACCTCTTCACGGTCCATATGCTATTGCACCTCACATACTGTATGTTGAAACCGTGTCCTATATCCATAATGCACAGAGCAGAATTTTACTCTTTCATTACAGATATGCTTGTGGAAATATATCATG